TGCCGCCAGTCTGCTTAGGCCCATGCTAACTGTTCAGTGTTCGTGATTTCATGTGGGTTTCCCTTCTTCAGACTGCCACTTTCAGCGTATGAATGGCAGCAATGACTCCATTAAGGTACACACCATCAAAGGGCAGGGCCAGCAACATAGCCCTACATTTCCTTCTACTGAAAGAACTTCCCTCATCGGTATAAGAAGACTGAAGAAGTAGACTTAAGTCTATGAAAGCTCAAGCTGCTAACTTCTTTCTTTCAATTACTCTCAAAAGTGCTAGAAGATCTCTATATATACTGATTCTACAGACTAACAAGGCTATATCTTTGAATTCTGAAACTTTTCTGAGACGGAGAAGAACTTGTGAAGGAAGGCATGCTTAACACAGCTGACTATTAAACTATTTTATCTATTGAACCATGCAATTATGAGCTTGAGTAACATTACTAAGATAACCAATCATAGAAATTCAGCCTCCAGCGATCCTTGTGACAACCTGCAAGAATGGTGTTCACTGAGAAATCTAAATGCATCAGTAGAAAATACCCTGTGGGCCACTTTTAAAGAAACTATGGTTGGTGGCAAGCCATTTCCCTTTTATCTTCAATAGTGGCATCCCATCCAATATACTTGCAACGACATTCCCTTCCCTCCTTTTCTTCCTCCCCCCTTCCATGGTTCCAGAAAAGAGTTGTCCACACAAATTGCCTTTTAAAACCAACTTAAATATAGTTTTAAACATCAGAAATAGCCACATTTCTCTGGTATAATTGTCAAAGTAAATGACTGTGATGAAAATAGTTTGAACTTGATTACCAAGTGCTAGATTTATCCACAGATAACTGCAATGTAGGGTCTTATGCAGAAGAGGCAAGCTCACAAGAAAATAAAACACAAAAACTTGATAAAATAATTTTGATAATGCTATCTGGTCTCTTAAATTTGACAAGGCTTATGGGTCACAAAAGTCTCAATTCTACACTGTGCTTACATTATACTGCTAGTTATTCAACAGCTTAACATATAAGTTGTTGTTGTTGCTGTTATGTGTCTTCAAGTTAACTGTGACTTATAGAAGTCCTATTTGTTGATAGGGAGTCAGAGCGGTGTTGTATTTTGAATGTTGAACTAGCAACTTCTGGACTCTGGCAGACAAGAAGGCAAACCCCATGGCAGCTCACTGGGTGACCCTAAGCATGTCACACTCTCTCTCCCTCATAGGATAGGAATGGCAACCCCCTCTGAACAAAGTCTTGCCAAAAAACAAACAAACCCTGTGACAGGTTCTTTGTATGGTTGCCATAAGTCATACAATTAACTGGTAATATTTATTCAGATATTTTTAACTGTCTTCTTTAGAGGTAGAGAGAGTGTGACTTGCCCAAGGTCATCAAGTGACTTTCCATGGCTGACCAGAAATGTGAACTCTAGTCAAATACTCAAACACCATGCTAGCTCTCTACAGAAGTCTTACAAATAAAGCAGGGCCAGAGTGGTGTAGTGGTTTGAGTGTTAAACTAGGAATCTCGGAGACAAGGGTTCAAATCCTTGCTTGGCCATAGAAACCCACTGGGTAACTTTGGGCAAGTTACACTCAGCTTCAGAGGAAGGCAAAGGCAACCCCTGTCCTCTGAACAAGGCTTGCAAAGCAAACCTCATGATAGACACTTTTCTTTTAAGTTCTTTAAGTTCTTTTCTTTTAACTTGAAGGCACACAGTAATAACAAAGCAGGGCTAGATTACTTTGTAGGTCTGGGGAGTGATATTCCAAATACCTGGGCCTCCCGTAGATTCCTACTAGCAAATTTTGGCAAAATTACTTCTAGGTTTTAAAAAAACTATTATTTATGGTGGAAGTAGTAGTAGTAGTAAAATAAATGAGAATAAAGGAAATGCTTTAGAGAAGAATTCTATGACCGAGTAGGTGCTGGAAGTGCTAGTCACATGGGTTTTGCAAAAAAAAGGAGGAGGTGAGATAATTGGGGCCTGGAAAACTGTCTGGGGGGGGGCCACATGCAGCTAACATAATGCCCAACTTTGATCTAAAGGAACATTAGCACAGAAGGGTAGCAGCAGGAAGAGTATCAGAAAAACTGAGTTATTTTCTTTTAAGGTTACACAAAAATGTAAAAAGCAGATACAGATTCTGCAGTTCATTAGATCAGGACAATTATCTCTTTCTAATGTATACAGAAGGAACACATTCTTTTTCCTGATAACATCATAGTGATAAAAAAAGAAAACTTGAGATAATTTATTTCAAGGAGTGAAGAACTCCTATTCTGAATGGAAACAAAAACCAAAACCCCAATAATGTCATTGTTGTGTCTCTGAGTTAAGTTTTTAATTGAAATTATTCACATAAAATTGAATTAATTTTTTAAAAATAATAAAGCTCAGATTAAAATATCCCATGGCTAATGCTGCAGTTCTAATGTTGGGTGACTTACAAGAAATAACAGCCTAGATCAGGACCGGCAACCTACGGCCCAGGGGCCGGTTAAGGCCCAGGTCCCTGGACTTACCAGTCTAGGCCGAAGGTTGCTGCTGCCACCGCCGCACATTTTTGCCACTGTGCGGCCGTGCGCGCCACGACCGTCACTTTGGAAATCAAAATGGCGGTCGCAACGCGTTTGCGCATGCACAGTACTCCTGCGCATGCACAAACACGTCGCGGACGTCATTTTGATTTTCAAAATGGAAGCCGTGACATGTGCCGCGGCAGCTGCAACAGCGTGCGCTGCAGTGGTGGCGGGCACGGGGGGGTCACACGCGTCGGTGGAGGGGGCGCGCGCGACCATTCCTCCCCCCCTTTGGCCCCGGCCCAGGTCTCAAAAAGGTTGCCTACCCCTGGCCTAGATGCTCCTATATGAGAATCAGACTATGGATAAAACTCTCACCCTTGTAAATAGCAAAGTGATGTTTGATGGGGACTTAACATGTACATAACCACATTTTATATAATTTTTCCCTTATAAAAGGGGAGATAATTTTGCAAATTGACCAGAAATACATAAACTATGCATGATTAACTTGCAGAATGCCCCTCCTGTGTTTGAACATAAAACCCCATTGGGTGACCTTGGGCAAGGCACACTGACTCAGCCTCAGAGGTTGACAATGGCAACCCTCCTCTGAAGAAACTTGCCAAGACAGCCCTATGATAGGTCTGCCTTAGCGTCACCATGTCAAAAATGACTAGGAGGCACAAAACAAACAACACATAAATTATATGTCCATAATATCTACATCTCACATTACTTTGCATGCACATCAAATTTCCAGACAGGTAGAATGTACAAAGAAGCCCAATATATCCTTACTTCCCTCCTCCCAGGTTCAGCTTCTCATTCATAACACCAAACTAATCTACCATCTGTATCAATAATTTAACTTGTAATTCACTATCATCGCTGTAGCCCACTATAGCTTTACTATCAAACATTTTTCAAGAATACCACATGAGCCACAACTTTACTTTTGCTGTACACAGACAGATTTGAGACAAAGTCTATATCTGATACGTATCTGTCAGAAGATATTAGAAATAGCTCATAGCCTCTCAAAGCTCAAAAGGCTACATTTAAAATGCTTTAAGTACTTTGGCAGACTGGTGAAAAAAGCAGCATAAGAATGAAACTTGATGCAATATCTCATCAGGAAAAATATTTCAGTCACAGTAGTCTACAAAGCTAGGTGAGTTTATGCAGTACAGCAACAAATCATGCTTAATTCAACCAGCAAAGTTTGTAGAAAAACAGTGTTACACTAATGGGACCCTTATTGGCCCATTAAGATGCACTCTCTGAGGTATAATTTTGAATCTCATTGATATTTCTGTCTGTAATATGCAACTGCTGTAGGCATACTGTCTCTAATAAATGTTTCATTTTCAACACATGCAGCACTTAATGAGTAGCTAATGAAATGTTGATTACTTATTCAAGTATTAGCAAAATTATTAGCACAGCTGCAACATACTGTTTTGTGAAGTCATGAAGGCAGTTGTTTTAAATTCATTTTTTGCAGACTACTTTGGCAAGTATTTACATAGCCTAGGAAAAGACACACATTATGCTAGACTTTCCAGCACTGATTAGTCCTCTTAATTCAATAATCCAATTTAAAAGATGAGCTTTCAAGATGTTTTGTTTTTGCCAGCCTAGCCTATACAAGAGATTCAGCTGTCATGAAAGCCTGAGAAACAGACAGACATCTCTTTACAGACATCCCATTACTAGGTATGGCATCTAAAGCTCTATGAGAACACAAGGATGCTTAAACATCTACCAATGTCTCTGTGCAGGGCAATGCAACACAGAAAAAAATAAGAGACTCAAACAATGTCATAAGTGTATTCTAGATATAAATGATTGTCAGAATTCTGTTGGGTAGCTAATTACTATGTAACAACATAGCTATGTTTAGATGTTTTGTACTATAACCTCTGTAACTTCAATCCACTGTCCATGCTGGTTGAGTCAATGGAAGTTGTAGTTCAAAGTGGAGGACACCAGGTTCTCTATCTCTGCTCTGCTCTTTTAAGACAGTCTTCTGAAATAAGCAAGCCCCTTTTGGAAGACAAGAAACCACACAATGGTTAGCTGCTCACCTAGTTACCAACCATGACTATAGTTGCATTGATTCACGGAGACAGCTGTGTAACCTTGACATATCAAAGTGAAAGAAAGGCTTTGAAAGCTCTCTTTTCTTGTAAAATTTTGAATATCAGACTAGTCATACAGACAGGGGTAATTGCAATTCAGCAAAACACAAGAAGAGGGGAGGGAGAATCTCAAGTTTATGTTTCATTTCTGCAATTTATAGTTCATCAGAGGTAAAGAAAACAGCTGATACAATTAGAACTAAACCTATATCTGATTTTAGTGTTTTCTTTCAGGGAGAAGGGAGAAAAGAACCAAGACTAGAAATAGATAGAAAACACATTAAATTTTCTGAGGTCAGGAGAAAATATTTAAAACATTCCCAGGGTGCTGGTGGGGTAGTCACTTTAATAAGCTGTGGCGTTGGTATTTCAATGGGCAAGGATGTTCTTTCTTGCTTTGCTACCACTTGTTTGGCTGCAAATGCATTCTCCTCTGCACAGTCTCAACTGCAGCTATTTGGGGAAACTTAAATGTTCTCAAGTAAACCCCTCTGAAAAAGCTTGCATCTTCCATGTTGCTATCACTGCTCTACACATCCATGTACCTTTCCCTTTAGGGCCTAATATGCAAGTCACTCACAGGGAGAGGGGGAACTGAGTGGAAGCTGATGTTTCTCCACTTTGGACTGGTCCCTATTCATTTACTTAGAGGGCAGAGGTGACAAGGTGGTTACAGCACGGAAACAGATATAAGACAACAGGCATCACAGCATGTGTTTGCTTCTATGAGAAATGGGACTTAGCAGGTGCATTACCATACAGTCCTCTTCAAGGTCTCTGAATGATGCTTCTTCCTGGGACATTGCTGGAGTGGGGGAAGATGATCATCTCAAATATAAGACTACAAGTCACATGGAAACAAGTAAGGTGGGGGCAGAATAGATGCTGCTGCTATTGGCACAAGCTTTTTTTAATGCTGCTTCAGATCCAGTGCAAGGAGAAAGGCAGGATATAAATTAAATTAAATGAAGAAACAAAAGCATTAACAATAAAATATCTCCTGCATATGAAGATACTAAGAGATCTTCTTAACCCAGTTTCAATCCCTTTCTCACTATCTATGGGCCTTTACAGACTGCCAGAAATAGTGCAAATTGAGGCCACTTTAACTGTCCTGGCTCAGTGCTAAGGAATCATGGGAACTGTAGTCTTTTGGGGCACCAGAGCTCTCTGACAGAGAAGGCTCAATGTCCCAGAAAAATGTTAATCCTCATTGCTGGGGCTGCTATGTGCATTCAGGTAATTTCCAATTTATGGCAGCCCAAAGCCAAACCTATCATGGGTTTTCTCAGGAGATTCAGCAAGGTCTTGTCATTGCCTTCGTTTGAGGCTGAGAGAGGATAAGTTGTCCAAGATCACACTGTGTTTCCATAGCCAAGTGGAAATTTGAACCCTAGTCTCCCAGACTCCTAGCCCAACACTCAACTACACCATCCTGGTTCTCATCCCCATACTGTCCATTAACCAACATTACCTGCATGCATCTCTCTGGCTAAAGAGGAGCCTACCTTTACAGAACAAATTCAACATCTTTATGGAGGGAAACTGTCAGTGACTGTCAAATGTGTGCTACACAACCCCAATGGCCTTTATTTATCACCTATTATACATAAGAGTGCAGAATCCCTTGCATCGTTCCACTTTGAAGAGATGAAGCAGTACGCAAAGAGAGAATATTTAAAACATTTATCTGTTTCTCAGGATAAAAACATTCACTTGCCCGAATAACTCCAAAGTGGTTTAGAGTGGCACATTCCTTCTTCCTCTCCCAAAGCAACCCGTTTCTTTATAGAAGTCAAAGGAATATCAGAAGCAGCAGCCATAATAATGAGGCAGACAATTTAAAAGGCCAGTGAGAAAACTTATGTAATTCAACAAAAATAATGCAGATTA